CCTTCCCAAACTGAAAACAGAACAGTAAAAGAGGCAGAGAAAATGAGTAATCTTCTGCCCCACTGCCCTTTACTCTGTGCTCCAAAGGTTAATTTTGAAAGGGGTGTTGGTGGGAGGAGGAATGAACCCCTCCCCCCCACCTCCAACCACCCCTTCTATGCCTGAACCTCCCTTATTTTCAATAATAACATGTTGCCCTTTGGAACTTATGGCCAGTGTCCCAGTTTTTGATAGCATTACTTCCTCCCGCAAGTTAAATGTGCAAACATGTACATGGATGGCTGCTGGCCACCCTGTTTCATTTCTGGCCTGGTGCTTCAGGGTCCTGATGACCTGTGCCAAGGAGGAACATTTCTATAACAACTTACAGATAGACCTAAATGATGTTGTTGAAGGCTGCTTCAATAATGATTTTGATGCATGTAAGTTATTCTTTGATCCATCATGGTATCCCTCAGCTGATCAGACTTCTGTATAAACAAAAGTTTTTAGAGGGATAGTGGCAGTTTTTAACTTGTCTTGTCTGACATGTTTCTCTAAGCTAACATGTAATAGCTAAAAGGACTTTAATTTTTGTCTGCATCTTTAATTTTTACTTTTTGTACAGTAATAGGATTTTATGAAGTCAGCTGCATTCTTTAACTCCTATTGCTGCTTTCTCCTGTGCTATACGTGAGATCCGAACCAAACACTTGTTTCTGCAAAGTACTTCTACTGTGCTCATGGATGACTTCACTTAGCTCAAAGTGAGATTTGAACTTGAAATATAGTACACCAGTACTTGATATCCAAGGGATAAGCAAGGGAACTTGCAGTGTACTGTTAAGTATTAGTTATGCTGCTGCATTTATTATGCTTTCTTAACAATTGCATACAATTACAAGAATGTTTAAAGGTTATTTTTGGTAGATATGGCTGTTCCCTTGTGCTTTCATGCAAAACACTGCTCTTTATCTATTGAAGCTATATCACGGAAAACCCAGACTTGTATCCCTCTTGTAGATAAGACCATTTCTGTACATCAAAACTGGGTATGGTTTGCCATTTCCAGGTTACTGAACAAGTTGAGCATTTCCAAGGTAGGTTTGCAATTGTAGAAAAACATAATTCTGAAGCTAACATTAAGGAAGTGTAAAGCCATTTATGTTCAAAACCTGTTTCTTTCATGTTGAACTTAAGATATTTTCCTTTTAGGGCTGCAGATTAAAGCCGTGTGTTTGTATGTATGCATGTGCACAAGCTTAGTCTACAAAGATTCCCAGTTCTGAAATCCTCAAGACTTGTGCTCTTGCTGATGACTCCTAGATCTGAAATGTTTAAAGGTGGGATGTGTAAATGGTGCTTGACCCTCAAAATTGGTAGCATCTCTCCGTAATGTTAACCTTTAGTTTAACAGCTGCTTTACTATGGTATTAATAATGAACAACCTTTAATACAATAGACCCATACTTACTGCTTCCCATTTGGAATATAAGCATCAATTCCCATAGATCCAGTACCTATACACAGAGATTCCCTTTGTTTCAAAGTTGGCAATATACCAACTTAAAAAAAAAACAAGAGCACAAGCCCATAGTCATTAAGGCAGTGGTTCTCCTTCCTAGCTGTGGGGCACCTCTTGTTTGACTCAAGGCATTCCTCCATAACTTGTGAATTGTGCAGTGTCCCATCTTAAAAATTAATTTATCACTGTGCCTTAGCTCCTTGCAGAGAGGCTGAGGAGCAACCAGGCAGGGAGGAGCCTGAAACTGCTCTTGCTTTCTCATACCTTTTGGAGCCCTTCAAAAGATTTTATGGCACCCCTAGGAGCCCCAGCCCTGGTTGAGAATCACAGCATTTAATGAGTTGAGTTGCTGAGTATTCTAAGAGACCTGGAAATGAAATACCTGTTGCAAGTACAACAAGACAGTACAGATTATCTTGAATCCTATTTTGAGGGCAGTGGCTATATTGCAGAAGAAAAACTTGAGTTGGGATTTGGTGGTTGGTGGAGAGTGTGGGTGAACTGAAGATGTCCAGCTACTTCAAGTGTCAGAAGTTCTTTGCCATTGACAGAGGTCCTGTTTGAAGTTCTCCAACTGCCTTTGAAGTGGTATAAGCAACCTGGGGTGCAGACATTCATGCCTGAGGAAATTATTTTAAAAATAACCCTCATAAAATGGAGGGATATATTTGAAGGTTTTCATTGTAAAACCTTTCTTGAAACATCTGCCAGCTCCAGCACAGCATCATAGGTGGGGCTGGGGGAAGTTTACTCAGTCCTTTGACATCCCCAAAGTGGGGCAGAGAGTGAATGAGTGTTGCACAGTTGTCTTTGGGAACCTCCAGAAGCTGAGGCATGCAGGGATTCCTGTTATCTATGCCTTGCTGGAAAGCAGTGTAGCTCCATTCCTTCAAGGACATTTGGAAATGCTTTGGGCAGCTACCTGTGTTCATGGAACTGAGGAGCTTCCTGGAGTAATTTCATTCTAGTTTGGTAGATCTCTAGACTACTTGCCACTGTGTAGTTATTCCAGCAGGTAATTATGATGGCTATCCCTCTCTTTGGTTTTCTTTCTGTTTTTTTGTTTATAAGCCATAGCAGTTAAAAACTGCTTCCTCATGCTGTTCTCTAGATTTTATCAGTTGAATAATGTCATAATCTTGATGATCTTAATTTCCCTCTGGACTAGTTTGTTTTTGTTATAGTATCACAGGAAAGTAAAATGAAAGCAAACGCCATTGGGTCACCTCATCAGTCCAGCCCCTTGCTCAAGGCAGAAACATCCTTATCCTAAACCTTTCCAGCCAAGTGTCTGTCTAACATGCTCTTGAAAATATCTAGGGATAGCATCCACAGCTTTCTGGGTAGTCTGTTCCAATGCCTGACCACCCTCATAGTCAGAAAATTCCTCCTAATATCCAACCTGAATTTCCCCTGCTGTAGTGTCATATCAGATACTGGCTTATTCATAAAGTTCAGAATCGTGTATCATTAGTTTTTGGACATTTTTGTAGAACATCTTTTAGGTGCTGCATATACTATGATAAAATGCATGCCATCCTCAGCTCTGAACATTAAGACATAACTGGTGGCTAGCTAAACAAATGATTTTTCCCCTTTGTTATAAAGCGTAGTGCATTTTAAAATATTGCAGATTCAGTTTACACTGTTTATACAGTTCCATAAGTTCTGAAGTATTATTTTATGAAGTACGTATTTGACTTTAATATTACAAATGCAAATAATGTCTTTACCAAAAGAGGGTTTTGCAGTGCTAATTCAGACGCCTGTAGAAGTTCCAAAAACCTACAAATGTTTCAAATGTTAAATGTTTCTCAATACTTCAAGTTGCTAGCATTTCACTTGCCTATTAGGTAAATTCTCAAACCAAGCATTTTGCCACATTTCAAAGTTATTTTAATTAAAGAGTGTAATGTCCTTGCATGTGTTTCCTAAAAGTAAAAATCTGAAAACCAATACTAACACCAAAATAAGTAGTAATACACTTGCTAAAATACATTTGACACTTTTTATATGTCTTTGTTGCTGTGGGGTTTTTTTTTTTCAAGATCAGTTTGATTTTACTGAGATTCTGCTTTATGACTGTAACTAGAGTTTATAGTGAAACAACTGCTTCATCACTGCTCTCAATTTATGTAGGTTCAGAAGTGCAAAAGCAAATATGTGTATAGATAAGCATTGCTTAAAAATTAAATATTAAATGAATTGGTAGTCATTTTGGCTTGAAACTGCATATGCAGCTGTACAGCACCACCTAGTGTTGTAATCTTGTATATTAGATTTAAAGGGTGGAAAGGTTTCCTACCCTTTAAAAAAAATCTTAAAGCATTTTTCTTTATACTAGTCTTCGTTCTTTAATATTTAATACCCAAGAGCAACCAGGAGTATTGGCATGCCTATATAAATTGGAGCACTATAAACTAGATATAAAGTAATAGAGCTAAAAAGTACTGAAAGTCTAACAAAAATGTAACAAGATTTTTCATTTTATTAAAGATGAAAGCAAGGAACCTGTATACACTTCCATTTTCCTGGGCTGTTATAATTTGATTTGCATTAGTCAATTTCCAAGGAATGGTTCTGGAAGTCTAGTTGGCTAAACATGTGAAATTGCAAATTTTCCATGTGTAAGAGTTGTCTGGTTAGTTATGACCACAATAAAAATAACATCTGAAAATGACCTGTAATTCATTCAGTTATGTAAGAGTGGAGTTAACATTTCAGGCACTTCTTTGTTCAATTTAATTGATACTGTATGGCATTTTATTCAAAAACATGCTTGCCAGTACAGCTATTAATGGCAATGTGGTTTAAAGGTTTTTGGCTTGGCAAAATAATTTAGAAACTGTTTAAGCAATTGTGTGAGGTACAGTATCATTTGCTGCTCTTATTCACTGTTTGGATTGATTCTACTCTTGCATGGCTACTTTCCCAAGGACAGTACCTGTTGGTATTAACTGTCCCTCATTAGCAATCATCATGTAGGAACAGATAACAATCAGCCTCCCTCCTATTATCAGCTGTTGGGGGAAATATTTTGAAAGCATAGGGGATAAAAGGCTCTTTTGGAGCCCTCTTTTGAGGTAGAGGTGGTCTGGATTTAGGGCCTCCATTACAGAGAACTATGCTTTTTGCAGTAAACTTGTAGAATTTTCTGTTGTTGGAAGATGAGCACTTGCACAAAAGCAGTCTGATTTGAGAGGCTGGTGTTTTCGAGCTAGGCAAACTGTTTTTATCCTGTATTCAGCGAGTAGTTAAAACTTGGAACTTGAAGCTTCTATACTTCCTTTTTGTATTGTAGAAGATTTGTCAGGGCAAGCCTAAATTGAACTTAAATGTTGAAGCTGGTATATCCTTTTTAATATATTGTGTACAGTAAATCATATCAAAGTGGCCTAAAACTGTCTGTATACTGTATGCATTTATTTAGGGACAGATTTATCTTTGTACTTAGTGGTAAATATCACTGAAGTTTTATTTTTGCTCAAATTAATAGGAGTGGGATCCTCTCCAAGAGGGATTTCTGCACCTGTGAAAAACTCTCCAGCTTCCTGGTCTAGTTCTGGAAAATCGCTTCCTAAATCCAAAGTGCCAGTACTCAGAAGAACACCTAGCATCTCTTCAGTCAGTAGCAGTCAGAGTGAACAAAGTACTTGCAGCAATAATTGTAAGTATTTTGTCAGTTTTTCAGTCTTTCTCTGGGGCCACATCGTTCTTGGTTGGGGAAAAAAAAATTCCTTGAGGTCAGTTTGGGACTAAAGGTTTTGCTCACTTTATGCTGTACATGCTTTCCTGGAAAAGGCGCTTAACTCAAATTCACATAAAGGGAACTGACTTTACAATGTAAAAATGGAGATACATTCCAAGACCTTGATTGTATTGACCCCCAGACCCATTTCTACCACTTCTACAAGCCTATTTTGGTACTTGCGAACAGCAGAGAGGGGTAAGAGAGAAGCTAGTGGGACGCTTAGAAGCTATAATGGGGATGGCAACTACAGAAACGTGTGATGCAGACAATGAGCAAGGAGCGCAGATTTACACAGGAGGCTATGTATTTTGGTCCACGTCACTCCCACAATGCACTGCACAGAGCAGCTGACTGTGGGCTTCCACCACACTGATCACATAGGAATGAATTTACCTTCTGTATGTAACAAATTTTTGGTAGAAAAAGGGTCATTGAGAGCAAATTGGCACATGCAGAACCCACATTCAGCGAGGGAAGCCTGTATTGCTCAGCCAAGGACTCATGGCTTTTTCCCTTCAGAACATGGGCTTTTTTTTTTTTTTTACAAACTTCTTAACAGGCACAACTAGTTAACTGTGTTGAAAGATCACTTCTATGCTTCCTGAGACCAAACCATCCTGTATTGGTGAGCAAGATGCTTACTTCTGAAGGGGTTTTTGCACACAGTTAATATAAGCATGAATCAATCTGAATTCTGTGAGTGGGATTTCTACAGTAATATTAAAGCAGTGCATCAAGCAGTTGTTTTAGTAACATACAAAGTTTTAAAACAAAACATGCAATGTAGACAAAACTTAGTGGATATTTGCTTTTGTACCTAAAATATCTGTGAACTGATAGTTTTTCTAAGTGTAAGCAACTTATCTTGATAGGTGGCACACCAATAAAATTGCTAAATCCAATGGTCGTATCTTTTATTCTCTTAATCTGTTCATATATTGATGAAGACTCTCAGCACTTGCAGGAATTTTAAGAAAGGGAAAATGCACAGAAAGAATGCAACTTAACCCATGAATAGGGAAAGTGACGCATCTAACAAGGCTATTCAAATTTAAATGAGTGGATTCAAATATCCTGTTAGTGTCACAGCTATTTTTTGTCCTGAGGACTAAGGGCAGGATTTGCCTTTATGCTAAGTTGTTTAAAATAAATAAATCTGTTCTGGATGAATTGAAGATTCTGTGTGTTCCTCATTTCTTTAAAATTGTGAGTTTTTTATTTTTCTACTATTTCCTTCTCCTTAAACTGAAACCTTCCATGTGCTTTTAAAAACTGGTAATTAAATTTTACATAGCTTAATATCTATTTCACCTATAACCAAACTGTTTCTGTTTCCCTGACAGCCATGTTGACTTTTGCTGTTCAGTTTTAGCACCATATTTGAAATGTGTATGGAGGTTGTAAGCGCTTTCTCGTCTTTCTTTGTTAGGAGGGGAAGGGGAAAAAAGGTTCATTGCTTCATACTAGAGAGAGATGTATTCCTTTCAGAGTAGTATCCGAACTGATGCCTCTTATTTGCTAGCTGTTTTCATCTGTTTTGTCTACTGCCTTGAAGCTTACAATTTTTTTCCACTCTAATTCACTAAGAGCAGGCAGGAGGAACATGAGGGGGTAACATGGCTGCAGTCGTTCTGGCTTTAAGCTCGCTTTGATCCTTTTTTAAATGACTATACCAGGAGGACTCCGCAGTTGCACAGAAACTGGTTTTTCTTTTAATAATTTCATCAATTCTACACTCACACCACCAGCCGATTCAGGAAACCACTATGATATTACCTTGCTGACCTTGCTGGTAGTGGGATCTTACAGCTTTTGTATTATTCCTTTGTTAGCCACGTTTACTGGGAAAAGAAGTAGGTTGTATCTTTGTTTTTTCTTTAAAAAAAGTTTGATTTCTTGTTTGAAAGCTTGGTAAAATATATATTATTCAAATATTTAATTTGCAGGTTTTCCAATTTCTAAAATTTTAGAAAATGCTAAAATTTAAATCTTTATTTCAAATTGTATAATCATTCTCAATCTGAATTTTTATATAGTTAATATTTTGTGCAGCTAATTTTTTTGGGTGACAACCAAATTGTAGGGAACCAGTCTAATTGACTCCTTTTAATGTAAGCTTCTTCTAGGTGTGTGTATAGTATTATTTGCTTATGTCTGCATAATGCAATAAGAATCAATTGCATCAAAAATAATTTTAAAAAATTGGCTATCAAATTCCTTGGACACTCAAAGGTCAATATAGGATGCCTGTCCAATAAGCCAGTGATGTAAAATGAAAGATGTAGCTCTGTGTATAACACTGTTGGGAAAGGATAGCTTGCCAATTTAGAAAATTCAGTTTTTACTTTTTCTAATGATGGAAGTGGAGTCTTTCTGTTGCTGTGTCAGCTCAGTCCTTTGTTATGTGATTCACTTAGACAGTTAGTAGTTTCCCATGGCAGTCATGCTGCCTCTGAGTCAGTCAAGGCTTGGCTTTTACAACCCTCTTATCCTCTAATGAAACTCTCACCATGTGGGAAACTTTGACATAATGACTTGTTTTATGCACAGTTCAACATAAAAATATTTCACATGTGAGTTAATTTTCAGTGCTGGTGTTGACCACTGAAAAAATCTAATTGAAGTAGTTTTACACTTTTTCCTTGCAATGCCAATAGTAGGCACTGTTAAATAGACTGGTCAAACCTGAAAGCTTCCTGAATTTCTACTTGCAAGCCTTAAAACTTTAAAGCTTTTGTTTCTTATACAGGAATAATTGCATGCTTTTGAAATTAATAATTTCCTTTGCAAGATGTTAACTTGCAACTAACCTTGAGGATCCTATGGATATTGAATTGGAATAGCTCTGATTCTCACAACGTTGTTTGATACTTAACTGAGGTTTTAAGTCTACTGGTACACAGAGCAATTTGAGGGAAAGAGGATTAGATGGACTTGACCTAGGTGGATTTCATAAGGCATGATACTGAGCCAGGGATCTTCTCAAAATTTTACTTAGGTTGAACTCCGTTTATAGGGTCTTTGTGCTTGATTGACTGCAAAGATTTTTGGCATCTGAAAGAGACTGTCTTGTAGGCCATGTCTTCAGTGAACTGTACAAACCTGGGCTTTCCTTCCAGTCTGCCACACTAGAAGTCACAGAATCGTCTCATTTCTCCATAAAATGCTGCCGCATTCTCTGCTGCAACCCTGATTGGCAGAAGGATACTTAATCCCATTAATACTCATTTGGTTTATTCGCTTTGTTTCAAAGAGAAACTTCAAACAATGTGGGATTTTTAAGTACCTGAAACGGTCCCAGCTCTGAGCAAAATATGACTACGCAGTATGTCAAATCTATGGAAAATGGTATAAAGCTTCCTTATATGAAAATAATTAATAAAAAAAATGCATTTTTCACCAAAAGAGATTGGCCAGCACTATGCCTTATTTTTTTCCTGTTTTTGTTCTAGTTTAAGATGCTTCTCAACATCAATAGAGCAAAGAGACAACATATCTGTTAAGAGTTTTACATATGCTATTAGCCTGCAGGTCATACTGCTATTTCTCTTGCATCTCAACATTTTTTTTAAGCTTTCTCTAGTATGAGTTCTGGATCTAATGGCAATCATGTTGATAAACTGCCATTTCTGCAGCCCACAAAAATCCTGTCTCGTATGAATTTTTTCAAACCTCTATAATCCATGTTCAGCAAGAGGTAAGAACTTTAGTAATAAGGTTCAGTTGTTTCCTCTGGTTCCTGGCATTTCATTAAATTTGGCCCATTTCATAGTTTCCTAGTTTCTAGGGTCGGAAGGGACCTGAGCAGATCATCAAGTCCAACCCCCTGCCATGGCAGGAAAGAGTACTGGGGTCAAATGACCCCAGCAAGGTGTTTGTCTAGTCTCCTCTTAAAGACCCCCAGGGTAGGAGCCAGCACCACTTTGCTTGGATGTTGGTTCCAGATCCTAACTGCCCTGACAGTGAAGTAGCACCTCCTGATGTCTAGTCTGAATTTACCTTCTGCCAGCTCGTGACTGTTATTTCTAGTCACTCCTGGTAGTGCTCAGGGGAACAGGGACTCCCCCAATGCCTACTGGCCCCCACTGACTAGTTTGTAACAGTCCACTAGATCCCCCCTCAGCCTTCTCTTGTGGAGGCTGAACAGGTTCAGGTCCCGTAGCCTCTTCTCGTAGGGCCTGCCCTGCTGCCCCCAATCATGCGGGTGGCCCTCCTCTGGACCCTCTCCAAGTTGTCCACATCCCTCCTTGAAGTGCAGTGCTCAGAACTAGACACAGTACTCCAACTGCGGCCTGACCAGTGTCACATAGAGGGGGAGTATCACCTCCTTGAACCTGCTTGAGGTGCATATGTGGATGCATGACAAGGTGCGGTTGGCCTTCCTGACTGCATCCCCACACTGCCGGCCCATGTTCATCTTGGCATCAGTGATGACTCCAAGATCCTTTTCTGCCTCTGCACTGACGAGAAGGGAGTTCC